ACTTCAATTAAAAAGAACTCATTTTACTTTTTTCATATGCAGAACCTGTACAATTTGTTCACGTGTTTTTATATGTAGAATTAGTTGTGTTTATTCACCATAAAGATAGAAATGTCTTGTAGAGATTGTTTCTATAGCTCAGGAGAGGTAGAACCATATATGTGTATATTTGTGTACATAGACATTAATTTTCAAACCATGAAAAAAAGACCAGATGATTTAGGAAGAAATTTTAGAATGCACAAAAACAGGAGAATTAAGATAGAGTTCAGAAGCAGAAAAACACCAAAATTTGAGGGCAGCAAGAAAAACTGAAAGCAATCAAAGAAATTACATGTTCAGAGAGAAAGAGAAACAGGAGAGAATGGCAAAAACCAAAAGAAGGGTCAGTTTAAAAAGAAAGTAAGTAGTCAGTAATGTCAAAGATCATCAAATACAATGAAGGTTGAATACCGGCCACTGGATTTGGCATCGGAGGACAGACTATCCTTAAAGAGACAAGACACATAATGCTTCTCTTTTATAGTTTTCTCATTCCTACAGGAGGCACATCAGAAACACCTCAATAAATTTCAAACTATGCATCTGCTCACCAACCCTATCAATCCTATCCTCTGTCATCAGCAGATCCCTGACAGAGTGAAACACTGTTACTGATGGAAATGTTTAATTCCTTAGGAATGTTAAGGAGGGGAAGCCAGGAGTGAGCCACTGAATTAAGGGCAGAATGAAGAAGAATGAGCATTTAAAGAAAGCCGGAAAAGAGCACTCAGAGAATCAGGAAATTGAAAGGAAAAAAGGGCGGGGGGCATGAAACTCACAAGCCACCTGAAGAAAGTATTTCAAGAAAAAAGTCAAATCCTTTTACAAGTTCAAGTAAGATATGGACCACAACAGTGTCGGTTTGATTTATCCACAAGAAATTCATTGGCGACCATGGCAAAGAGATTGCAATGGCACAGAATGAGTGTGACTTGGTCGTTGAAGAGCCAGGAAGAAAATCCAGAGCATCAAGAGGAGGGGCTGTCCTTAGGGTAGGAACAGAGACTGCACTCCTTTTGTAACTGAAAATACAACGGAAAAAAAGAAAGGATGCCTGAAAATTTAGGCTGTTTACAGGTCTGAAGGCAAGAAATGGAGGAAGCTCATTTTCGGATAGATTCTTCTTTCTTCCTTTTTAGGAAACCTTAAAGTTATTTGTTGAGCTTGAAGGGAGAGGCTTGAAAAGAGTAAAGATTTAAACATTTACACTAAAAAAATGGAAAAGAGAACTAAACAGGAAAACACAGAAAGCAGAATTGAGGCCTATTAACCCTACAAAAACAACCAAAAGAGTACTTCCTGGGACGCATCCTACTGAAATAAGCAGCCATGTGTGGCATACATACAATGTTTCTTCCACTTCACCTGGGGAAGTTCTACTCACACTTCAAAACCAATTCCACCCAGAAAAGCTTTCTTCACACTCCCTTAACCACTCCCAGTTATCATCCCCTTCTGAATTAATATTTTACTTTGTACACAATTCTACTGCTACCCTTACAATACTATGTTACACTGCCTACCTTATACCTCTGCAAGACTATTTCCCCTACCAAAACCGGTGAGCTACTTGAGGGTGGGAATTGCACATATACTAGGAGCTCAAAACTTGGTTAAACTGAATTTAAATTAAGATATAAAGATGCATTAGCCAGAGAGCCTATCCTAGAGAATCTAACACAATCTAGTTTAGAAAACATCATTACAAGTTTTGACAGAAGTATATACATTATCAGAAGGCAAGTAATTAAGAGCAATGATTAAAATGTAGAAACAGGAAACAATAATTTAAACTTTATTTAATTCATTTATAATCTATTTTGGTCTGCAAATGTGAGCATATGCTTCTGTGATGTTCAATTTTTTTAAAAAACGCTTATTCTGCACCTACTGTATGCAAGGTACTGTTATTAACTCTGCAGAATATAAAATGTAGTTTTACAATGCGGTAGAAAAGATTAAGAATACAAATTATTTTAATACAAAGTAGAATGTGATGGCGATTAAGGAAGAAAATTAAAAACAGATGAGAAGGGTCTTACAAATTTAAACTTTATTCTGAAAGAAAAGAGATTTGGGGCATGTTAATTTAATTAACACAATTTTATGTGCTTCTCAAATGTACTGTGTCTAATTTATCTTCTTATTTCTAGCAACGTCTGTCCAAAACTATCAATAAACTTGACTGCTACTTTCAACACACATGGTTAATCCCAGCCTGACTGAAAAGCTCCCAACCCTCCCCCACGTCTGGTTGAGGATAAACGCCTAGTGAAAAACAAGCAAACGAGCTTTTCAGTGGGGCCACCTGTGTAGTCCAAAAATTTGTTAACAGAGAAGATGTTTCCAACTCTACTTTAAAACGAAGCCCCGCTTTCATTAAGCGCTTGTCATCTGTTCTAAGTCTTACACTTTTCAAGGAACTAAACACTTCACCGTTGGGTCAAGAATTGCGGCAGCGGCGGGGGCGGCCAACGTGGGTCACCAGGTGCGGGCTATCAGAACATCAGCGAAGCCTTAGGAGCGACGAAGGTAGAGCTGAACTGAGAAACATCTAGAAATGAGGTATCCCCGGGACACCCGGGGAAAAAAGGAGGACAGCAGGTCCCAGAAGAAACAGGTTGGCGAGGCCAGCACTCAGACTCTAGGGGGCCGGGCGGAGGGGAGTGGTCACGGCGAGACTGGAAAAGTTTCCGCAAAGCGACGATGAGTCCACTACCCGGGCCCAGGTGCGGAGCAAGACAGCCTCCCTGCTCCAAGGCCCGGCCAGACCCCGACTCCTTACCGTCCTGCAGGAGCTCTCGGACTGTCGCTGCAGCCGCTCCGCAGCCCGGAGCTCCACGGCCAGCCCCAGCAGCGCCGCCGTCGCCGCCTTCCATGTTGGCAGGTGCCGGGATGATGGCGTCAGCCGCGGCCCGCGCCCGCCCGGGTGATGACGTAGAATCCAGGCGCCGCCCGCTCCGCCCTGCCCGTGGCTCCAGGCGGGGCTGGAGAATCCGCTCAGCTGTGGCTGCTGGACCATCACAGGCTGCGAGCAGGCTGGGACCCAGAGCAGGTTGGTGCCGAGGGCCCAGCGCACCCGGAGCTGAGGCCGTGGGGCCGGCGCTTTCCTCCGTCTCCCGCCGCATCCCTGGGGCTGGCGGCATTCCGCAGGCGCAAGAAAAGGTGGGCGCCGGAACGGGGCCACGGCGCTTACCTCTGAAGCAAATATTTAACCTAAGAACGGGGGCCTCTCGATGAAAGCAAGAGAGCGGAGGTTTCTGGGAGCTTCGCTTGCATCCCACGAGCACAGCTGGCGGGTGTTAATAACGACCCAGCTTTATCTATCACACGCCTTGGTTCTTATTCCTGGCATAAAGGTCGACAGGAAAAGCTTGAGGGGAAAAAAAAGCTGGGGAGGAAAGTTGTGAAAGGAAGGGGTGAATAGGGGGAAGAATTAAGGAGAGCCTAGAGTCGGTGAATTACGAAGACTGAACCAGGAAAAGGCAAGTGGGACTCAGTCTCTGCCCACTCTCCCGTGAGACGGTGTCTTGATGGTTTTCCTGCCTCTTAATTTCACCCGTGCAAAGAGCGACGCTAGACTTTTCCTTATTACAAATTGATGGATTTTCCGTATCTCAGCTAACGATATTGAAGCTGTAAAGTCATCAAGCTAGTTCCTACTATATTCTCCGCTGTTACATCTGCATTTTTCATCTCTGTTTCTCTGAAAATAAATACTAATAAGTTAACCGGTCAACCACACGTATGCAAGAAGGTTAAGCATTTTCTCATAAGAAAAACTGTAATATATCTTTTCCTTTGTGTAAGGTAAGTATGTACACAGGCACCCAATTTTCCCCCTGCCAGAGCTAAAGGTTCAATTGATTATACTAACAGTATTTCGAGAAGGTGTGAGAATAGTCCTTACCTGTGCCAAACGCTGTTCGAAGTACTTTATAAGTCTAAATGCATTAAATACTCCTAACAACTCAAGTAAGAAGGGCTTGGTACACTGCGTTATGCTTTCTCCTTACTTTATTTCTTTCCCTTTTTCCTTAATATAATTTGTTATCAGTCATGGTGTGAATAAGATTGATTGTTCTGAACGGAGGTCACACAAATTGTCAGGGGCAGTGTGCTCAGTCTCACATTGTTTATAATACACAAAATTTGGTTTTGATAATTTTTGAATATTAACGATGAATAAGCATTATCTTTGGATTATGAATTGCTTTTTTCCCCGTTGGCTTTTACATTGAAAATTTTTAGAAAAATTGTATAGTAGTCATTTCTTCAAGGAAGAGTTTTGAGTCCCTACTATATATTAGAGCAGCATGAGTTTACAAACATATGACTCAATCCCTCTCTTATCCCAAAGGAGCTGATAGGTAGGTAGAAACCCATTTAAACAAACAGTTGTACCAGGTGCTTTGAAGAATGTGGGTTTATTTATTCCCAAGCTTGGGTGCACATTAAAATCAGCTGGAGAACTTTTAACAACCCCTGATGCCTAAATCTTAAGGCCAGAGATTCGCATGTAATTGGTCTGCATATGGTTTGGGCATCCTGCTTCTTAACATTTCCCCAGATCATTCTAATACATAACCAAGATTGAGAACTACTGATTTATTCATTCAGCAAATACATGTTAAGGGAGCCATTCTTTGTGCCATGTACAGGGTCTGCAAGAATGAGGAAGAATGGAATTATTCTTGCTGAGTCACTAATGACCTAGTTGCCATTGGACACTTTTTAGTCTTTACCTTACTTAACTTTTCTATAATGTTTAAGATGCTTATCCCCTCCCTCCTTTGTAATTATCCTCTCTCTTGGGTTTTGAATTTCACATTTCAAGTTCATTCCTCCCAGCTCCAGAGTTCAACTCTGTCTCCTTTGCAATCTTTTTTTCCTCTTTTATTTAAATGTTGGTGCTTCTAAGGATTTCTACAATATATGACATCCATAAGTGCTTTGTCCATGTTTTTAGTTTCAACATATTACCTAAAGATTAGTGGGGAGTCTATAGCTTAGTGGTAGAGTTGCATGCTTAGCATGCACAAGGTCCTGGGTTTAATGCCCAGTCTCTCCATTAAATAATAATAATGATAAATAAATAAACCTAATTGCCTCCCTCTCCCGCACCAAAAAAAAAATTATCTAAAGGTTAAAGATTCTTAATCTATACCCCTAGCTTTTTCTTGAGCACCATATCTATATAACCAGTTATGAGGCATCACCACCAGGAAATCCCCTGAGTACCTCAAGTTCAGTGTGCCCAAGTATGTTTCCCATGTTTCCCTGCCAAAGCCTGTTCCTCCTTCTGTTTCTCTGTCTCATTGATTGGAATTACCATCCACCTAGTCTCTAAAGCTAAAAGTATACACACCATACTAGAATTCTTTCTCATTACCTAACGTGTGCTGTCATCAAGTGATTTTCACCTCCTAAATGTCTTGCTGGTTTATTTTCACTTCTAAATAACTCCTAAATGTGTTCCCTTTCCTCTGTCCTCACTCCCACTGTCCCAGATCACATACTCATTACACGTGGCCTGGTCTACTACTGTGGCCTCCTTATTGATGTTTTATCAACAGCCCTAAACTCTCCAGTGGAATCTTTGTAAACAGAAATCTGCTCATGTCATTTCCCTGCTAAAATTTTTCAGTTCCAACTAGTATACAAGGAGAGACGTACAAGTTGCACAAAAATATATACCCATGGAAGTATGTCATATGTACATGTTAACATGTTGTGTGCATATGTAAAAATCATCCATGGAGTAGGAAAACGAAGGTCCTACAGTATAAAGTCTAAAAACCTCTTAACTTGTTATCAAGACCCATTACTATCTAGGTCCTCTCACACCCTCTCTAGTCTAGTTACAGCTGAAGCAGCACTATACTTCTAATGGTTCACTGAAAACATCAAGTATTTTCATGCTTCTTCGGCTTTGTGTGTGTTGTGCTCTGTAACTGGATGCCTCACCATCTCCCCGGTAGGGTCAGTTTAAGCTTTCCCTCTTCTATTGTTGACTTCCCTCACTTCTCTAGACAGTTATTTCCACAATGCTTAAATCGTGTCTGAGTGTGTATATCAGAGATATTGTGTTGTGTGAGTTTGTCTACGTCTAATACATTTTTAGAGAAACAGAAAGTGTATTTTTATCTGTATTCCTGATATGTAGCAGGAACTTAATATTTGTTAAATGAATAAAAATAAGATCAACTGGGATTCAGAGAAGATTGTCCAAGTCATCACAGTGGCGGGCTTATGAGTACAGAGACTGAGGCAGTGAAGATGTGCTCAAGGTTTAATTAAAGCTACTACTTAGTTGACATACTTCTAGGAGATGGAGGATGGAGGACAAGCCCCAGGTTTCTGACTTGAGTGCATCGGGATGGATGGTGATGGCAGACTGATAAACAGCGATAAAGTGATGAACAGTGCATAAAAACTAGTTAGTCTTATTTCAGCTGTACATTCCACCTAAATAAATTGAAATTTTTGGTTTATATTTAGGTTATATCAGTACTTTGAGGAATAGCCAAATAAAAACTTGCATGTTGAGCAATTAGACTTTTCTAAAGTTGGCCCATCTTTGTTTCTAAGTTATTAAGGCCAAAATTGGAATATGGAAAGCAGCCAGCACTATGAAATGATAGGATTTTAAGTAGAGCAACTATAAAACACTTCGGAATTACCTAATTTAATCACTTGTACCTCTTTGGGTATAATAGTGATTTACTATGAAATT